GTAACCTCGTTTTACCCTAATCACCACCATCTCCACTGGTGATCCCATTGTGAAGACCTAGAGGTTAGGCTTCAGCGGATGAATTTGTGGGAGCGCTAAGTCTAAGTTACATCATTCTACAAAGGAAGGTGAAGAAATGCCTGAGAAGGTGATTGGCAGCCTTCCCAGCAGGGGTCATGGTGCAGAAGCTCCTCTGCTGCTGCTCTGCTTCTACTCCATGCAGAGAAGCCACTGCAAAACCACCAGCTAAGGAACAGCAACGGCGGAGGTGTGCACAGACAGCCACAATCGAATCCTGCCTCTGACACTTCTTGGCTGTGTGACTTTGGCAAATATCTCAACTTCTGAGAACTTTTGTTTCCTCCTTTAATGAGAATGAATATAGTCCCTGCCTCCTAGGGCATCTAGGAGAAATGAGAGAGTTCAGGGAAAGCAGAGCACCTGTCAGGGCTCCAGGACTGCTAGGCCCTGTCCTTAGTCACCCTGCCGGTCTTCCCTCTGCAGAACACAGTTCAGCATGGGGAGCTGATGTTCTCTGGCGGGTGGCTCTCGGTGCCCTTCCCAGCTCCTGAGCCCTGACTTCTCACACTGTTTCCTTATCACTCCACCCCTCCATTTAGACCATTAGTGGGAATTAGAGCTTTCCCAAGAGCTGGTGTTGGTGGAGCACGGATACAACAGGTCTGGCCATGGGAAAGGCCATCAGGTTGCTAGCTGCCCAAATTATAGGGCCCAGAAAGGCAGAGAAAGCGCTCAGACTTGACTCAAGCCAGGGTCTGTATCTGAACGACTAGAATTCAGCTGAAACCTCTTGGGCTTCCCACTGGATCTTCAAAACATCTGTGACTTGAAAAAGGGATACTGCCATTTTCAACTTTGAGAGAGTGCCAATGACTTGCCAAGGGTCAGTCTAATGCAAATTCCAAATTCAGTGATGGTACAAATGTCAGGAAGAATGGGGAGCTGGAGAAACCTGGTGGCTCAGTTTCATGTGGTTCAGCAAACATCTACTGAGAACAAGTGAAATCATCAAACTCAGGAGACAACAGCACAGAAACAGAAGTCGAGGTGCCTCTTTGCCTGCTCAGAGCACTCACTGGAAGAGCAAGCAGATGTGTTCAGATTCTAAGTGGGAAGTGTACTCATGGTACACTGGATGTCCAGGAGAAAGAGAAACCAGCCCAACCCAGGGTCCAGGGCACCCCACACAGACAATTGGCAATGGGCAGTGTATAAAGAATGAAGAATGTCCAGGAAGGAAATGAAAGGGAGAAATAGAGGCAACAATCTCTTCACCCTTTGTAGGAAAGAAAAAGCCACAAAAGTTTGGGAAAAAAAATATGTAAGGGAAAACTGTGGAAAACCAGGAATCAATGTGGGCAAGAGGAACATGGTGGACAAAGCTAAACTGTACAAGGATGGCAGGTGCAGCCAGTGCCAGAGTTATGGAACTGTTCCATGCTAAATGTATACATTATCTAGCAGGTGACAAGAGGTGACGCATTGGACTATTATACAAAAAAGAGAGACAAAAATCAGTTCTGACTTTGAAGAACTCACAGCCAAGAACACTAGAGAAGAGTTTCTTCATCTACTGTCACCATCACCTGCAGGGCTTACAATAAATAAATAAATAAAGGTTGCCCAGCTACCCCCAGGGATTCCAATTCACTAGGTCTTGAACATGGCCCAAGAATTCTCATAGTTTGTGGTGGCTATTTTTGGTCCAGGAACCTTGCTTTGAAAGCACTTTGATGGACAGTGATAATTCTGGAGGGAGGGAGGCCAGGTAAGAGTAAGAGGCTCCTGCCCCTGGAAGCTGAGGGAGAAGGCCCTCCTGCAGGCAGCACCACAGGCATCCAGAGGTAAGGCCAGGTCTGAGCTGCTTCAAAAGGCAGGGTCTGGAGGCCAGTCGAGTATGAGGGGCACACAGAGCCATCTGAGGTCTTCCAGGGCCTCTGGCTTAGATGACTGGGCGGGGAGATGATGGGGAAGAAGTCCTAAGAGGCAAATAGGAAACTATGACAGGTTTCACATAATGCTGATGAATGTCTTTCATAAAACAGGTGAAGCTGTTTAATTTGGAACTCAAAGAAGAGGTCTGTACTAGGGAGATGCTTGATTTTACAGCTTAGTGACCTATTTCTGTAGCATTTACTTGATCACACAGGTAGTTGATTAGAAATTTCAAAGTATTTATTGTTTTAGAATAATGATAAATTATCATGACCTCTTAGCATGTGTTTTAAGTCCCAAGTATTCATAAATAGTCTGAGAAATAAAAAAGTACTCCAGATTTTTGCATTAATCTGCAAGTCACCTTAAAGTAGTATTTACTAATGAATTTGAAAGAACTAGAGTATGGCCTGTTTCAAGTATCCGGGCTGTCTCTTTGGGGATAAACTAGGTCATCTACTTTAAGCCCCATAATGGGAAATAATACACTTTGTGTTTTATTGTTTCACTAATAATTTTATTCTCCATGGATGGCTTTCTTAAACTATATAATGAATAGATTTAAAGTCGTGATAAGCAAAATTTTTCAGTTTTTAAATTTTATTTCTCTCTACTATTATTAAAAATGAACAAATGCTGGGCTGGGGCTGTAGCTCAGTGACAGAGCACTTGCCTAGCATGTGTGAGGTACTGGGTTCAATCCTCAGTACCACATAAAAAAATTAATTAAATAAAGGCACGATATCCATCTACAACTATAAAAAAAATTTTAAAGTGTACAAATGCTTTTCTCTCATACTCCAATCAATGAGGATTAGTGCCAACCAAAAATTAAATAAGCATCAATTTGTAGAAATCATATTGAATTTTCTTAATTGGAAACTTGAAACCCCTAGGTAAGGGAGGAAAGGAGAGAAAAATAAAATAAAAATATTCCTCTGCCCTGAAGAATTTAGCAACCTAGTAAGAATGATAATACTTGCTCAGAAATTATTCAAAAGAAGATAACAAATGTCATAAAATAGTCATGGGGGAATATTCAGGAAATATATACATTTTATCTGGGAGATGAGCAATGATTGTTTTTGAAAGATGTGATCTTTGAATACCACCCCACCCGCCTCCTGTCTTTGCGGTACTAGGGATTGAATCCAGAGCCTTGCACATGCATGGCAAGCACTCTATAACTGAACAACTGAACTTCACCCCAGCCCATTTTTTTTAAATTTTATTTTAAGATAAAGCCTCACTAAGCGCCCAGGATGTCCTTGAACCTGTGATTCTCTTGTCTCAGCCTCCTGAGTATTTGGGATTACAGGTGTGTACCACTGCACCTGGTTTGAACTGGACCTTGAAACTTTAGGATATTTGAACAAGAAGTGATAGAATGGGTCTAGTCTATGCTTTTATACTTATGACAAAATGAATCCTATTGTTATGTATAACTGAAAAGAACCAATAATAAAAAGAATGAATCTGATATTTATTTATTTTTTTTTATAAATACTTCGTTATATTTTTTAAAAAACAAAATATTTGCAGGGCCCACCTGGCTCTGCATAAAAAGGTTAATCCTCAATTTGTGACATCACAGATCAGAAGGGGGGGCAGATATTTAGGGGAGGAGACAGCTGGAAAGAAGACAAGCCAATGTGGAACCAGGGCCTGCCAAAACATCCAGAAGAGAGTTAGAGGCCAGGAAACCAGTGGTGTACCTGGGAGTTGTCTTATTCCTGTCCCCAATCCCTGATGCTCAGGAGATTCAGACACCCCCTGTGAGGTCCCAGTACTGGGGTCTATCTTCAGTCCTGGTTTGTTCAGCTCACCAAGCAGGTTTGGGGGTCCTTTCTAATAGGAGACAGTCCTTGTTGTTCAGGCCTCTGTGGTCAGCCCCTTTCCATCACAGCCCCCTTCCCAAATAAGAATCATGAAGAGAGCTGGAGGGTCCTTCCTAGGAGGAAGGTGTTCTGGGGTTGAGCCAACTGTGGGCTCCTTCTTCAGTCCCTGACCAGGCAGTAAATGTGGTGCTGGGCCCCACGCTCACTGGTGGAGACCTCGAAGACGTAGGCGGTGCAGAGCAGCAGTTCCTGGGTATCTCTGTTTGTCACCACCTGGAGGATGGTAAAGTTCTCAAGGACGCTGTTCATCATGTATTGCTCGGGCAGCTGCCGCAGCTTGTGCAAGAAATTCACCAGGTATTCGCACATAGGTGAGCGCAGCAGGCAGTACACAAAGCGCCCGTCCTCCAGCTGGGCCCGCTCCGTCTCCACCTTCTCCACCACCTGCTTGCCAAAGGAGCAGACCTTGGAGGAGCAGGTGAGGGTCATGTGCTCCAGGCTCTCGTACTGGCTGCTCACTCCATAGAAGCCACCGCTGCTGCCGCTACCGCTGCTGCCGCCTCTGCTGCCAGCCCCCGCCTCCTCACCACTTGGGCCCCAGTTCAGGTCCACCCAGAACTTGACCAAGAAAAAGGTATGGGGAGGGTCTCGATCATACAGCTCCCGCAGACCACCCTTTTTCTCAGGAAATTTGTCGTAGATCTGCCGGACGTCCACACTCTCCAATGGCGGTGCTCCAGGACTGGGACAATGCTGACTGATGTGCACAAACAGGTGCCTCTGGTAAGAGTCAACTGCATCGGGTGGTTCCACAAAGGCTGAGAACTCCACCAGCTACAACCGGGCAGTGCCCAGAGCCCGAGCCTGCCAGGCTGGGGGTGAGGGGGCAGGTGGAGACAGGGGTGAGAGGGTTTGGGGAGGCTCGTACCCTGGGAGGTCAGTAGATGGCGGAGTCAGTGACAAGGAGAACGGTGTCTGTGAGAATGGCTTCACGTCTGGAACATTCCAGGGTGGGCCAGAGCCCCCTGACCAAAACTGGAAAAGTTCAGTGGCCTGAGGACCGGCAGGACCCAGTTTGGCCTGTAGGGAAGAGGCTGAGATGAGCTGGGCAGAGGACATGGTAGCCATCGTCTGGAAAGCCTTGTCCTTAGAAACCTGGTCCACATTCAAGGCCTTCAGTTTGGACTGGATTTCCCTCGATGTCCTTCAAGCCAAAACCTGGATATGACTAGAGACCTGTTTGCGAGTCCGGGTCTTCCCTGTTCTCAGCTTGATGTAGCGGGCAATCAGTTCATTACAACCATACATCTTGCCTTCATCAGACAGAATGATTTTCCGATGGCCACATGGCGGGTAGATGGCCAGGGCTTCCTGGAAGCTCTGCTCAATGTCTGGGCTCCAGACACCCTCTGCATCTGGGCCCCCGTCTCCCCCAGCCTCCTCGCTGCCGCCGGTGCCCTCTTCACTGCCTTCCTCACTGCCTGTCCAGCCACTGCCATCGTCCAGGGGGGCCCCAGCCCGGGGTTCCCCCATTTGGGCCTCCTGGCCTGGGGCTGGGGACCCGCGGGCGGGCGGGGCGCTCTGAATCTGATATTTTTTTTAAAATGTACAATTGCTTTTACTTATTGAAAAAAATTAACACGTGAAATATAAATAAGCAAAATGCATCCGACTATTATCATGCTGAGTTTGGTGAATATCAATTCCAATATGACATTTGTTACTTAAAGTACTAAATGTTTGCATTGTATCAAAGGATAATTTTATAGATTCTAGAGACAAGGTGTGCATGCACTATGTTCTTTTGATGAGAAAGGTCACTTTTCACACTGCAGAGGTAACCGTGGTGATGTGTGAGCACGGTTTTTGTCATCATTTAAAGGGCTCTCTGTTCAGCTGGCCCCAGGGGTCCCTTTGGTCCTGAGTGGCAGCAGGAAACCTTTGCACTGCTGTGCCCTGCCCCCAACCCTCTGCTTCCCCTTCTTTGGCTCACCTTCATCTTCCTTCCAAGCTCACTGGACCCATCTCCTAGGAGAGTGTCCCCTGACTTCCCTGGCCAAGATTCCTCTGGTGGGTACCACAGAGCTCCTCCCGGGAACACCCAACCTGTTAATAGCAGGTATCATCAAAATCTATTTCATGCTCACCCATCTCCCCCACTGAGCTGTGAACTCCACAAGAGCCAGAGCCCAGCATCTGGGACTTTGCTAAAATTCTGCTCATTGAGCTCTCTCTAATATAAGTGCAAGCTCTCGCACAAAGTAGACCCTTGCAGAACACCTGCTGAATGAGAGAGAGAATAAACCTTGTATGATGAACACGAAAAAGCTGGGGTCCCCTCCAACACCGAGTTCCATGATGGAGTGAGAAGAGCATTTTGCTGGTTCTCTTTCTTGGTTTTGTCTTTTCCCGGTTTCTCTTTCTGGAATCAGTTCATACCACCAAAGTCTCCGAGATCTGAACTCTGAGATCCTGCCCTCCAAGTATAGCATTTGTAAGCCTTTCACCCTGGACGCTATGCCAAAAAGCATGCATTGGAGTGAATTATGGCTGTTTGGTCTGGAGCTGTGGAGAGTTTCTCTTTGTGTTTAAATTGAATTGAGGCTTTTAGACCCTTGACAGTATGGGCTCTCCCTCCAAAAAAATATAAAGCTTTTTAAAAAAATCTCTGTAAAACTCCATGTTCGAAGCAGCCCTCAACTTTTACCCTTTCCTACTGTTAAGGTCAGAGCATAAGTTCCCTTGCATAACCCCCAAACTCAACTCTGCAGGAAGCCAGGCTTTCTCTCCAGTACAGTGGTGAGACAGGCCAGCCGTTCAGTTCAATTCCCATTCCCAGGACTGGTAGGGTTGAGCCCCTACATCCTCAAGGAGGCAGGAGCAATTCAGAAAAAAAGCAAACAATTTTAGCAGAAACATGCTTCTTCCTGCAGTCTCAGCCTGAACCAGAAGTACCTGCCGTGAGCAGAGCTGGCAGGGCCCAGATGCAGCTCGCAGCCGTCTTCTTAACATAGGAAAAGCAGGCATGTGGAAAAGGTTTCCACTGTAAAGGTCTTTGTGCCTGAGCCCCATGCTCCGTGCAGGCAGGTATTGCCAGCGTTATCCCTAGCCTAAAACAGTCCGTAGCACATGACTCACACATACTTCCTCGATGACGACTGAGCACATGAGGCAATAAGCTGAAAACTCGCCCAAGTGTTTCACAGCGATGTTTCACAGAGCAATTCTTCTCATGCTGAGAAACACCTGTGAGATGGCTACTATTGCCATGTCCATCTTTAGATGAAGAAACTATACTGAAATCAATCATGTGTGAGGTAGGTTGATTCCCTGTCTGGCCAGATCAGAGCACCAACACTCTGGCCCACAGTCAGTGACTAACTTTATGTTCCCATGCTATATTGCCCCCAACCCTGCAGGTTCCTAGACATCAAGGAGTGGCCTAGGCTGCAGGTCTCGCCATCACTGTGGTTGTAAGAGGGTTGGCCTCCTGATGTGTTAGCTACTAAATGTCTGTGGGGATTTTCTGTTAAGCCCAGGGAGGAGCAGAGATATTTAAGACTGAATAGGCTGTGCTTTTCTGATACTTATTTTGCATCTGTGAGGTCACACCTCTTGCCATACCTAAGGAATCGTGCTGTGCCTCCAAAAGCCTACACACCCACCTGCTTATGGCTGCCCTGTGGTTCACGCTCCTGATATTTTGCAGCCAGGTTGATGCCTCTGCTCTTCAGGAAAAAGCATCCTCTAAAGATGAATGCCCCTGACAGCCTGCAGTACCCAGAGAGCGAAGACTGCCTTCCCAATCGCCCAGCACAAATGGCCCCAACTGTGACTTCTAACAAGTGTGCATGAAAGACCTAAGGCTAACAGGAAGACAGCATCATGCAGCACAGCACCCCAGAAGGAGGCTCTCAGATCCAGGGTCCCAGCTTGACCTTAGCACCCTTGTCCAGCTCTTCCTTTCCAAGGTGCCCACAGGCAGAATTCAAGTCCATCTCCATCCATGGGACTCCTGTTAGCTCCAAACATTTGAATCCAGACTTAGTTTCTTCCCAGCTCCCGAGAAGTCCTATCTTAGTCCTAGGCTCACCTCAGTGAGAGGAGCCACAGCTATTTCCTCCAGGGTGTATCCTTTTCCCCACCCTTGAGGGTCTAACTCAAAAGGCGTGGACCAAACAATGACAATAATTCCCAGAGCAATACCCAAGTCTGACTTGCTCAGTTTTAAATAACACCATGTGTGGGAATCCACTAGCCCAATTCCAGCAGCTCTGTGTGGAGCCGGTTTCATTGTCTTCCCTCCCATACAAGGAAAGAAAGCATCAGGCCTGCTGGTGCCCCACGCTGTGGTCCAAATTCCAGTTTACCATCCAAAGGCTTGGACAGAGTGTGCCTGCCTTTCTCTCTCCCTCTCCCTCCCTCCCTCCCCCCCCCCACACACATGCACACTCAAGAATATGCAATAATTTTCAGGCATAGAGCACTTCAAATCATAACTGAAGAGGGAAAGTCATTGTATATGATTCTGCAAGAACAAAATCCTGGTGAAGCCGATAATTTATACCACTCCACGGGACGCTGATCAGCGCGGCATGAAGCATCTGCTCTTGTAAGCCTTGAGATTCCCAGGCTCCTCCACGGTGCCTGGTAGGTCCCTTCCACACCCCTCCCCTCTGCCTTCACCTTGCTTTCTGCTGAGGAAAGCGGGCCTGGTTGGATAACAAAGGCACCTTGGTCCTCTGAATGCCAGCTGTTTGGTCAGAGCAGAGCCCTGATGGAGCCTTGCAGGAGACTTGGGGATCTGTGGTCCCCGGCTCTCTCCCTACCAGACCACCTGCAGTTGAGTGTGGGCTTCCACCTGGAGGTTGCTAAGAAACCTTGTAGGAAAGTGGCCTTCTCTAGAAGATTCCTCTGGCTCAGGAACCACCTCATCATCTGACCCCTCTGGGTCCAGGGGTGCTAATGGCTCTCATTTATTAACACTGGGTTCTCGCCCTGTTCCTTGAAAATACCCACCCATCCACTCACCACCTGCTCACACCTCTGTAAATAGTCCCTTTACCATCCTGATAGGAGATGCCAGCTCTTTCCAGTTGTGACACTGATTGACACAAGAGCCTTCCAAAACTAGAGCACATGACTGGAAGAGCCAGGCAACTCGGGTCCGTAATGAAGCAAAGAATCTCTCGGCAGCTTCCTGAGATGACTGACCGTCCTATGGGATGGTGTCCACATCCAGTCCCTTCCTCTTCTGTCCCCCAGCACCCTCTTCCTCACGCTGTAGCTTCACTTTAAATAACACAATAAAGAAAAGTATCTGAAAAGGAACAAAACAAGTCCTAGCACCTATAGGCAAAATAGATTATTATACTTGTTTTTATCTATGACCTGGAAAAACACAGCTTGATGAGAAGAGGAATCTTATTACCAGCTGTGCAGCCCTGTCCTGCATTCCTAGGCTACTGTTTAGAGCTTACTGCTGGAGAATTGTTTTTATATGGAATGTTGGCCACAGGCACACTTCTTCCTTGACGATCGCTTGCCTCCTGTATGTTATTAAGTGTTTGCCCATAGGCTGAGATTCTGTTGAATTTTTAAGTTTTAATGTTTTTCAAATGATCCGAAAATCCCCATTTAGAGCAATGTTCAGAGACTCCACAGATATTGTGATTATCATAGTCTTAACCAGTAGATGGCAATTCTGTTATGAACTGGCCGTGTGGGACTGGGGAGCAGGGCGCTAACTTGTGGAAATAGCAGGAGAATTGGATGTAACTGGGAGATCCACACAAGGCAGAAGCTGGGGGCAGTGTGGGGAGGGCCCCTCAGCTTCCTGTGTGTGTGGCCTTCTGAAGGCAGGCCCTGGGACATAGTCTGTGGCCTCTCTTTTAAGATGGGCTTTCCCATTTCTCAACACACTGGCCATTGACAGTGGACACGGCAGAGATGAGAACACTGTCAGCTCCCCTCTGGGAGAAGATTCCTCCCAGGCAATGTTAAAGGTTCCCAGAGTCTCCTCCTCCCGGACACCATTTTTCCTATTTTTCCTGTGGGTTGAATTGAGTTTGCCTGGGAATTGCCTCCTAAGTGCCTGGGGCAGCTGACTCTGACCCACAGCTTGACCTGCCATGGGAGGGCCAGATCTCACTTCACTCTGGGTGTGTCTGTGAGCATGTTTCCAATGAGCCCGGACATGAACCTGGGGCCTCAGCGGTGCGGGTGGCCTTCCCACCGTCGGTGGCATCCTCTGACCCATAGAGAGTATGAATAGGACAAAGGGGAGAAGAAGGAGGGATTCACCCTCTTTGCTTCCTGCCCTGCCCTTGGAGTGAAGTTCACAGCCCAGAGTTTCCCTGTATTTTCAAGCCTTCAGACTGGGACTGAACCACTCGCCCTCTTCCCTGGCTCTTCAGCTTGCATACAGCAGAGGGTGGGACTTCCCAGCCTCCATAATCATGTGAGCCAATTCCTCCTGTGACCCTTCTTTTACACACCTGAAATCATATGTAAGTACCGCAGCCACTGGTTCT